AGCAGGGAGCCTGATGTGGGGCTTGATCCCAGGACCCTGGGATCATGACCTGAGCCGAAGGCAGACGCTTAACGACTGAGCCACCCAGGCACCCCCAGATTTGGGTTTAGATCTCCACTCTGTCACTTGCCAGCTATAAAACCTTGGGCAAATAACTGCTTTAAGCCTTGGTTTCCTCATTTGTAAAATGAAGATAACTCAGTACTTATTGCATAGGGTTGTTTAGGATTAGAGATAATATATGTGAACTGCCTATCATACTTGGTAGATGTAGGTGCTCAATAAATAGTAGTCAATTTATTATGATATGCCTTAATCCATTGGTCTTTAAATTAGAGTAGGCAAACACCTGTAAGATTCTGTCCAAGGACTATGCAATTTTAAGGGAATCAGTTTCTAGATCCCTTACTTCCATTTGTTTTCTTCTAAAATTGATCTGAGAATGAATGTGTTTTTTTTTTAAATTTATTTATTTATTTGTCAGAGAGAGAGAGAAAGAGAGAGAGCACACAAGCAGGGGGAGCAGCAGGCAGAGGGAGAAACAGGCTCCCCACTGAGCAAAGAGCGCAATGTGGGTACTCGATCCCTGCACTCTGGTATCATGACCTGAGCCGAAGGCAGACGCTTAACCAACTGAGCCACCCAGGCATCCCAAATTTGTGTTTTTAAAAGTTCTTTCTCCACTTTACAAAAGAAAGGCATATTCCCCACATACTTCAAATCTTAGTATGGTATATTGACCTGTGGTACCGGACAAAGGGATAAATCAAAATACAGTTTTTGGAGAAGCCTCCTTTAATAGCTAATTGAGGTACTTTAGTCTATAATGCATCTGTCTTTTCTTGTCTTACCTATATTTCCATTAAGGGTGAGATTTGGCTTTAAAATGGTATATTTTGGTCTGTGTTGGGATATTTTGAATTCAGAACTGGAACAGCATAGATTAGTGGTGTTGATTTTTTAAAAATTTTATTTATTTATTTGACAGAGACATAGTGGAGAGAGGGAACACAAGCAGGGAGAGTGGGAGGGGGAGAAGCAGGCTTCCCACGGAGCAGGGAACCCGATGCGGGGCTCGATCCCAGGACCCTGGGATCATGACCTGAGCCGAAGGCAGACGCTTAATGACTGAGCCACCCAAGGCGCCCCAGTGGTGTTGATTTTTAAAAATATAATTGGATTTCTTTCAGATTTTATCAAAACAGGATGAAACATTTAATAATATCAATACTCATTTTATCTCATAAAGTGGTACACATTTTCTGCATAGTTAATAACTTATTTAAACTTATGATTAATTAAAAGCAGTAAATATATGATTATAATGTCTGAGAGGGTCCCTAAGTTTTTGTCATTTATTTTAGGGGAAATGTGAGAAAAAAGAGGACATCTGCTTTATTTATTCGAAACCACAGGTGACTAGGTTAGTGAAAGAGAGATCTATTGCAATTCGGAGAATTTTGAGAACTGAGAGAGTGACTTGAAACAGCACACATGAAAGAAACCAGTGATGGTTGATGGAGAAAAGATATGACATTATCTTTCTGGGTTAAACTGAGAGTAATGTAGCTACAGAATTTTTATATCACTTTAGGTTTATAGAGCAAGTATTTATGAGGAGAATTGATTGTATCCTAAAAGTCCAGAACATTTGCAATATAATTACACTTGACCTTTTCAAGAACAATAATACTTAACTTCCTAAAGCTTCCTTTCTTATCCATCTGGATCCTCGATTTAATCACCTAAGTGATTTGCTTCAAGTTCCTGTCCCTCTGACCTGCCTGGTACGATTACAACCATGGACCAATGCTATAATCTCCCTTTTCCTTTCTTATACCTAGGTAGGGCTGAAGGTGCTAGGGATGGGGAGAATCACAAACTTAGACCGTGACAGTACCAATATAGCATCTCTAATCACAGTTGAGCTGTTCACTCCTTTCACATATCCTTGGACAACTTTGTCTCTGATTTCTTTTGTGTTACTTCCTTGCCTTTGTGTATGTAGCTGTCTTTCTGACTGTAATGCCTTTTCCCCCTTTCTTCATGAATTTATCCTTCAAGGCTGCTCAGGGACAGGACTAGGACAAGTGAGGTATTCCCTTGGATGCAAAATGGAAGGGGACACCAAAAACTCAGTAATCAAGAGAAATAACACTTTTATGCAATATTTTTCAAAAACTAAAATGAATGCAAAATACTCATGATGGATAAAATACCAATATTTTGTATAATTCATCTCACCTCACCCGAATCTCACCCCTTTGAATCCTGTCTTTAGTTAACTACAGTTTTGATATTTGGTTCATTGTGGGTTTTGTGCATAAATTTTCATGTTTTGAAATATTGCATTATTATTTGTCTGGATTACTGAGGTTTTTTGAGTCCTCCTCCTACATTTTGTGTTAGAGGAAAGTGCCACACTTACCTCACCATAGTCCCAGCCCTGCTCAGGAATCCCCTCCTTCAAGAAATCTTCTACTTAGAGTAGGATATTTGTAGTTTCCATTTGTCTTTGTGACAGTTTCTATTCCAATTTAATTGAGTTTAGGTTTTTTAAAAAAATTTTTATTGTTAATCACCATACATTACATCATTAGTTTTGGATGTAGTGTTCCATGATTCATTGTTTGTGCATAACACCCAGTGTTCCACGCAGAACGTGCCCTCTTTAATACCCATCACTGGGCTAACCCATCCCCCCACCCCCCTCCCCTCTAGAACCCTCAGTTTGTTTTTCAGAGTCCATCGTCTCTCATGGTTGGTCTATTGAGTTTAGGTTTTTATTTCAAAACTCTTAGTAGCAATTGACTTTCCACATAAAAACATGCTGTTTCATGATTTCGCAGAGACATTTACTGAAACCTGGAGTTGCACGTCATGAAAATCAGGCCACATCTGGGCCACTAATATTTAGTGACTGACTACTATGATTCTAAGTGTGCAGTCAGTGGGAAATTGTACCAAATCTTTCACAGGGCTTTTTAATGTTAGCTCTACTTTTTTGCACCTCTCAAAGGCTACTTTGCAGAATACAGTATCATGCTTTTTACAGATAGAATTCTATTTAAGGTCTTGTAAGCATGAAATATTTTAAAACTTATTTTTGCTTTTAATAATTACATAAAGAATGCATGTTCAGTGTAGAAAAAAGTAGAAGGCAGAAAAACACAAAAGAGGAAAATGCTCACTTATCATTCAGACTTAAACCACTGTCTACATTTGGGTGTGTATATGTGTTCATCCAGTCTCTTTGCTATGCATAGTTATTTTTAAGTTTACGTCGGTTTTTTTTAAGGGTTTTATTTTTTCTTTATTTATTTTTAAAGATTTTATTTATTTATTTGAGAGAGAGAGCACAAGCAGGGGGAACAGCAGAGGGAGAAGGAGAAGCAGGCTCCCTGAGCAGGGAGCCCGATGTGGGGCTTGATCTCAGGACCCTGGGATCACGACCTGAGCCAAAGGCAGACACTTAACCGACTGAGCCACCCAGGTGCCCCTAAAGATTTTATTTTTAAGTAGTCTCTACACCCAACCTGGGGCTGAACTCACAACCTTGAGATAAAGAGTTGCATGCACAGAGCGCCTGGGTGGCTCAGTCGGTTAAGCATCCGACTCTTGATTTATGCTCAGGTCGTGATCTCAGGGTGGTGGGATGAAGCCCCATACGTATCAGGCTCTGCACTCAACAGGAAGTCTGCTTGAAATTCTCGCTCTCTCTCCTTCTCCCCCTACCCCCGCTCATGCACATATGCACACTCTCTCTCAAATAAATAAATCTTAAAAAAATAAATGTATAAAAAAAGTCTCATGCTCTACCAACTGAGTCAGCTAGGCATCCCATTAGTTTACATGTTTTTAATAAAAATGACATACCATGCATACTGCTCTGCAACATGCTTTTTCTATGTAGCAGTTAATTGTTGACATTTTCCAATGTGAACAGATATTCTACAACAAAATTTGATGGCTGCATAAATGGACATATCATAATTTATGCAACCAGTCCTTTGTTTTTGCTTTTAGACCTGCAGATTGTTTCTAGTTTTTTACTAAACTGAACACATTTTAGATGAATTATTTTCTACCCTCATTGAGTACTTGTTCTCTCTTTCCTGCAAATTTTCTTTCAACTCCAGAATTGATGGACTTAGTATAAGGGATGTGAGGCTCATGAAAATCATTTTTATAAAATATTCTTTGACACAAATTACATTTTTAAAATATATATTTTGTCATTAATTTCATCATCATAGCAGGCTAATAGTTCTGATAATTCCCAAATGCTGTTCTCTTTATTTTGAATAAGTGAAACATCTCATTTTGGTCTCTGTTAAAACAAAGAGTAAGAATCTTCTTATTTTAGATTCGAATGCAGGCCCAGGGGAGTTTGTTCCAGGGCAGCATGATCGGCAGCTTCATCGATATATACCAACAGGAAGGTACCAGGGGTCTGTGGAGGGTGAGTACTCTTTTCCTGGTATTATTTTATGCCCATTTCCTATACTTTGCAAAGAATACTTTTTATATAGAGCCCTAAAATTATGAATTGTCATCTTACACTGTTTAAGATTCTTGGTAACCCAGAAGATAAGGTAAGAAACTTCTTATCACCTATGAAAGGGCCAAAACTTACCAGTTGTCTTTATTTCTGCTTAATGTTTGGGGGTTGTGTGAGAGAAGGTTATTATATTATTTGAGGTAGTCATTTGGTTTGCTCAAATTGACAGTGAATTTAGTTCTTCAATATATATTTTTGCTAGTTTTGTACTAACACAGCAGTATATGTTTATGATAGTCTCTGTTTACCTAAAACAACTTTTTTAACCTTATAGAAAGTAAAAATTGTACAAAAAAATTTTGAGATCTATAGAAGAGAAAAAACCCAGTAGTCTCAGTAGCTAGAGGTAATCACTGTTAACTTTTTGTCATGTTATCTTCCAGTTTTTTATCTATACTCCTTTTTTATTGTTGTTCCTATAACTTTTTATCTTATTTTAATCACTTAATATTGTAATACTAAGTAAGACTACTAGCAGAATATGCAGAGAGAGTGAATGGGAAATCCATTAATAGGCTCTTAAAGAAGAGAGCTTTGTTTTTTTCTTCCTTTATATTTTCCCCCAGCTTCCTATAAAAATTTTCAAACATACAGAAATGTTGAAAAGAACAGAACATACCCAGATTAAATGACTGTTATAGTCTGGCTATATTTGCTTTATCTGTGTGTATGTGTATACACAGATAAACACACACACGTTCTTTGTTTTTGTTTCTTTTTTTGTTAAACTATTTGAAAGGAAGTTGCAGACATCCTGTACTCTCCTAAATAGTTCATTATGCATCTCCTAGGAGTAAGGACATTTTCCCACATAGTAATACATAATAACAATATCATTATCACACCTAAGAAAATTAACAAGTCCCTAATATGTAACATCTAGTTTATATTCAGATTTCCTTTATTGATGAGACCAGGCCAGTTTTCTTACAGAATATTTCCCCTGTTTTTCTTGCAAACTGGAAGTTAGGTCTGTTGGCTTGATTAGATTCACGTTAAACATTTTGGTACGAGAACTTCATAGGTGACACTGTATATTTCATATTGCATCACAGCATGAAGCACATGTTAGGTTGTCCCACAATTAATGATGCTGAATTTGATTACTTGGTAAGACGATGTCCACCAGATCTCGCCATCGTAAAAGATTTAACTTTTCTCACTTTGTAATTAGCAGGTAATCTGTAGGATGATATTCTAGCAATATGCATATATCCTATTATTTAATAACCTTTCACCTAATGGTCTTAGCATCCATTAATGATCCGTGAGGTTTGCTTTTTGATAACAGGGTGCACTTTCTTGATTAGTTTAATTTAAAACCAGAAAATGGACCTAACTAGAAATTTTTCACAAACTAATGCTAAGGGGAAGACAAAGAGCAATAAATATAGCAGGGAGATTTTGTCAGGGGAACATAGCTACTTTATTTTTAATTAAAAATTTTAATTGTAAAATACATACAACATAAAACTTACCATCTTAACCATTTTTAAGTATACAGTTCAGTAGTGTTAAGTACATATACGTTGTTGTTCAGCCAGTCTCTGGAACTCTTTTCATCTTGTAAAATTGGAACTCCATACCCATTAAACAACTCCTCCCCATTTCCCCCTGCCCCTAGCCCCTGGCGACCATCCTCCAATCTGTCTCTATGAATTTGGCTTTTCTGGGTACCTCATGTAAGTGGAATCATACAGTATTTGTGTTTTTGTTACTGGTTTATTTTACTTAGCATAATGTCCTCCAGGTTCATTCATGTTGTCACATGTCCTTCCTTTTTTAAGGCTGAATGATCTTCCATTGTATGTATATGCCACATTTTATCCGTTCATCTGTTAATGGGCATGTAGATTGTTTCTGTATCTTGGCTCTTGTGAATTATGCTACTCTGAATATGGGTGTGCAAATATCTCTTCGAGACTCTGATTTCAGTTCTTTTGTGCTGGATCATATGGTAATTCTGTGTTTAATATTTTGAGGAATGGAGCATAGCTACTTTTATGATCCAGGCTGCTCACATCATCCAGGCATGTAAGATAAAGAAGTGAAGTACATTGTGTTATGTGTTCTTTTGACACAGACATGTATTATTTGCATGTTAAAATACAGGAATATTTTTTCATTTGAACAAGGAAATAGGTTTGCATTTTTCTTCAAACACATGGTCTTCTTTGTTAGTGTTTTATTTTTCTGCTTTGATTTTCACATGGGTGGGTACTGGAAACATTTTATTTTCTAGCTCCATTGTAAGAAATAACAGCACAAGTGCAGTAACAAAGTGTAACTGGTACTCATATCAGAGTTGGAGAGACTGTAGAGAGTGATGGAGACTCTGGTGAACTGGAGATCACCTGCCCTGTTCATTGTTGTCATGCATGATGGGAATCCAGTGGCCAAATTTTCTGGGCTTTCACGAGAAGCTGGAGATCTTTATTCCTGTGTGAAGTATCCTGTTTTTTATATGTTGACAGGTAATTCATCCTTCTAGAAATACTGTGTAGGCCACACACAACATTTCTGTGGCCTGAATTTGGCCCATGGGCTCCTGTTTGGGGCCTTACTATTCAGCAAGGTTGTCTTCTGTGAAGATCATCTTCTAACACAGTTGAGCAGGTGGAAAGGTCAGAGAAAAGGCACTGTTGGGCCACCCAGCCTGATCAGCAGAATCAGACATCTCCTGGTGATAGCACAGCTATATCACTTCCATTTTATAAATTGAGTTTGGCAACTTGTAGATGATTGAGCACTTTAATATAACAGATATCCAAGAAAGCAGTTGTTCCCATGGTGTATTTTCAATTTTAAATAATATTTAAACAGAGTTATAAAAGTAAAACATTCATTGTGAATTTTTTAAAATATAAGAAAGGCATAAAAATAAAAATTAACTTATCTGTTACCCTAATTCCAGATAAAAATATTTTGGGGTGCCTGGGTGGCTCAGTCGTTAAGCGTCTGCCTTCGGCTCAGGTCATGATCCCAGGGTCCTGGGATCGAGTCCCGCATCGGGCTCCCTCCTTGGGGGGAGGCCCGCTTCTCCCTCTCCCACTCCCCCTGCTTGTGTTCCCTCTCTCGCTGTCTCTGTCAAATAAATAAATAAAATCTTTAAAAAAAAAAAAAAGAAAAAGAAAAATATTTTGGTATATTTTCTTCTAATCCTTTATAAAAATTTGGTGTTTGTGCATATATCCTTTTCCCCAAAGTTAGAATAATGCTATATGTCTTGCCTTCTTTAATGTTACCAGCATTTTCTTGTGTCATTAATATTCTTCAAAAATGTGACTTTTAAAGTTCTAGCAGCCCTGTGTTGTAACATGATTTGTGATAGGGGTATTCTGCTAGTGAGTGAAATGCTGATAGCATCCACAGGAGGACCGCTTTGCCTTTCCTTCTCCCTGGCCGCATTATACCTTTGCTGTCATCCTGGTGTGTCTTTTCTGCATATCTTAAAATTCTGTAAATTAAACTTGGAGGCTCTCCTCTCTCCACTGACTTTTGCTTCATGGTTTTATTTTTTTAATTAACATCTTTATTGAGATAATTTGCATACCATAAAAATCACCATCTTGAAGTGTGTAATTTTAAAGGATTTATTTATTTATTTTGGAGAGTGAGCGTGTGCGTGCACACGAGAGAGAGCAAGAGTGATGTGGGCATGTGAGCAGAGGAAGAGGGAGAGAGAATCCTAAGCAGACTTCCCGCTGAGCAGGGAGCTGGACACAGGGCTTGATTTCATGGCCCTGAGATCATGACCTGAGCTGAAATCAAGAGTTGGACACTCAACTGACTAAGCCACCCAGGTGCCCCTTGAAGTGTGTAATTTAATGGTTTTTAGTTTATTTACAGACTTGTGCAACCATCACCAATGTGTAAGTTTAGAACATTTTCATCACCACTAAAAGAAACCCCCTATCCATCAACAATCACTTCCATGTCCCCCAACCTTCCCAGCCCTAGGCAACCACTAATCTACTTTCTGTTTCTCTAGATTTGCCAATTCTGGCATTTCGGATAAATGGAATCATAAAATGTATGGCATTTGTGACTGGCTTCTTTCATTTAGCATACTGTTTTCAAGTTTCATCTGTGTTTTAGCATTTATCAGTACTTCTTTTTATAGCTGAATAATAATTAATTGGTGTGAAATTGCTAAGTCGTATAGTAATTCTGTATTTAACTCCTTGAGGAGTTCCCAAAGTATTTTCCACAGTGGCTGCCCCCCATGTTACATTCCCACCAGCAGTGTATAAGGGTTTCAATTTCTCCACATTGTCACCAATACTTATTATTATAGCTATCCTACTGGTGTATAGTAGTATGTCACTGTGATTTTGATTTGTCTTTTCCAATGACTGATGATGTTGAACATATTTTCTTAATGCTTATTGTCCATTTGTGTATCTTCTTTGGGGACATGTCTATTCAGATATTTTGCCCATTTTTAAATTGGGTTGTTTGTCTTTTTATTGTTGTGTTGTAAGAGTTCTTTATACATTCTGGCTACTAGCCGCTTATCAGATATATGATTTGCAAGTATTTCCTCCCCTTGTGTGGGCTGTCTTTTCACTTTCTTGGTGATATCCTTTGAATCACAAAAATGTTTAATTGTGATGAAGTCCATTTTATTTTTGTTTCTTTTGTCACTTGTGCTTTTGGTGTCATATCAATGATTTTATTTTTAGTACAGTAAGTGAATTGGGATTTATAAGTGTTCCACTATTAGCCACTGATTTGAAAGGATGACCTCTGTACTTCATACTTGGATTTTTATATCACTTTGTAACTTCCAACCTATTTTGTTCACTTTTAGACTTATGTTACTACTTGTGTATTTCTTTGGTGTGTAATAGCACTTATGTTTTGCAGGGTGTCGTCCCAACTGCTCAGCGGGCTGCCATCGTTGTGGGTGTAGAGCTACCGGTCTATGATATTACAAAGAAGCACTTGATATTGTCAGGGGTGATGGGAGACACAATTTTAACTCACTTTGTGTAAGTGTGTGATAGGTTGTACTTGTTCCGTATTTCCATTATTTTGAGCACAAAAAGCATCTTTCACTGAAGTCCTTATGTAGAATCAATAATAGGTGCAGATGGTCTAAATACCCGTCTTTCTTATCACCAGAACTTTGAGCCTTCCAGTACTTGTACAGAGATCCCAGATGCTATGGGTACTTTGGTACTTGGTAGCAGTGTCTATTACAACAGCCTATCAGATGTCTGTAGGATTTGCATTTGTTCATACACAGCCTCTGTATCTAAACGTATCTGTTATTTGCTCTGGTTAATTTTGGATCAGAAAGCAAACTTTTCTCAATGAGAATGAGAAAAAAGTGAAAATTTATAGGGCCTGTGAAACAAAACCACAGTTTTGGGCTGAAAACTGTTGCTAATCTCAATCTACATTCTCCTCATCTTACAACTTTTATGACACTTTACTGCTCAAGTGCATTTGCTGTGGTATGAAAACTTTATATAACTAATAGATGACGTGTGATACTTTCTGCTTAGGGATCTTGCTAGACTTAAAAATTGCCCCCCCCCAAAAGGCTGAGTTTTGGATTAAAAAGTGAAGGGGATAAATTTTTTTAAAAAAGATCTATTCATTCTAGAGAGAGGAAGTGAGTGAGTGGGGGGAGGGCAGAGGGAGAGAATCACCAAGCAGACTCCCTGCTGTGCATGGAGCCCAAGGGGCTCGATTCCACAACCCATGAGATCATGACCTGAGCTGAAACCAAGAGTCAGAAGCTCAACCAATTGAGCCACCCAGGTGCCCCTAACTTTTTTTTAAGATTTTCTTTTTAAGTAAATATGGGGCTCAGACTTACTACCCAGAGATCAAGAGTTTCATACTCTACTGACTGAGCCAGCCAGACATCCCATGGAGATAAGAGTGATGTTTCTTCAGAAAATGTTTCTCTTTAGATTGTAATGAAAGGGCAAGAGCCAGGTTTTATCTGATGAGTCTGACTCACTGTACATTCATGCATTTATGTTTGGCTTAATTTCTGTTTAGTCACGGTTGGAAGTGAGGCAGTCTAAAAGTTTTCACCTTTAGTTCCAGCTTTACATGTGGCTTGGCTGGGGCTCTGGCTTCCAATCCAGTTGATGTGGTTCGAACTCGCATGATGAACCAGAGGGCAATCGTGGGACATGTGGACCTCTACAAGGGTACTTTGGATGGTATTTTAAAGGTATATACACTGTAGACTTGTTTTACATTTTTTAATTTTCTTTGATATCTCAGACATTCAGTCCTTATTCTTAGTTGCTATGTATCATTTTGAAGATGGAAGAATCATGATGTATATATTTAATAGCCTGTCAAAGTAATTCCCAGGTAGAAAAGCTATCTCTTTGGCAATCTGCTGATACACATTGGTCCTTAATATTATTATTCCAATTTGAATGCTTGAGACTGCAGGATATTTTTATTGATAGCACCATGTAGAATTATTGATAGAAGGGACTTAACATCCCACATTTGCCTGCTTCAGACAAGACGGAGACCCTGTAATAGAAAATCCAGTACTCAATTTCAGTTTAGTATTGTGCTATTGTTCACATTTTGCCTTTGAAAAGTTTCTGCTGTTTGTAGGAAGCTGAATATCATAAATGTATTATGTAATCACTGGTGATCATGCTTCTACAAAAAGCAAATTTGCGGCTAAAATATGACATTTCCATATGGTTTCTCTGATGCTATCAGTTTAGTTTAACAACCATTTATTATCTACCAGGCACCATTTTGTAGATACAGAGAAATTAGAGTATACTGCAGGTGTGCAAACAGATAACTAACACAGCTTGGTAAGTGATAAACTCAGGGACCTATGGGAGGGAATTTTAGTCTAATTTGGAAGTTTAGGATAGGCATCTTGAATAATAGTAACTCACGTCCATTGAATGCTTTACTGTGTATCAGAAACTGTCCTAATGAGACTTACATATATTCATTCACTTAATCCTCATTACCCCATGAGGTAGATCCTGAAGCACTAACCTGCCCAAGGTTTCACAGCTAGTGGGATTTCAGCTCAGACCATTTGGCTTCAAACCAACATTTTTAAGCTCTATACTATAATGCTTTTCTCATGTTGATGGCTAAGGGTTAATTAGGTTATAAAGGATATTGAGCGCTATGCTGAGGTGCTTGGGCTTTTTTCTTTTTACTTGATGAGGAGCTGTTGAAAGATTTTAATCAAGTCAGATTTGTATTTTAGGTCACTTTGGCTTTGTAGAGCCTGGATCTGAGATAGTGGTTCTCAGTCTTTGATGCACAGTTGGAATCACCTGGGGAACTTTCACAGCTCCTGTGTCTACCTTTTAGACCAGTGAACTCAGAACTTCTGGGGGTAGGACCCAGGTTGAAAGTATTTTTAAAACTCCTCAGGTGATTGCAATGTTCACCTAAGGTTGAAAGTCATTAATCTAAGGGGATAAGCCTGGAGCAGTGGTTCTTAAGACATTAACATGGAACCTAATTACCTGGAGGGCTTATTAAAATGCAGATGGCTGGCTGGGCCCCGTCACCAGAGGCCCCATCACCAGATTCTGATTCAGTAGGTCTGGAGTAGGACCTGAGAATTTGCATTTTTAACAGTTCTCAGGCAATATTGATGCTGCTAATCTGGGTACTACACTTTGAGAAACACTGACTTAGAGATAGGGAAGCTGATTAGAGGGCTTTTATAGTAATCTAAGAGGCAATGAAGCCTGAACGTGAGCATTGTAGTGGGGATACAGAAGGTGGGATGGAGTTGAGAATAATTTAGTTGATAAAATCAATAGGATTCGATTGACTGGGTGTGGAGAGATGTGGGAGAAAGGAAGTGTCAGAGATATAACTTCCTGGTTTTTTTGTTTTGGTGACCATGTGGTGATACTCACTGACAGAGGCATCACAGGAAGAGGAGCAGGTTTTTTGGGAGACAGTACAGTTTTGGACACTTAGTTTGAAGTGCATGAGGAACACCCAGTGGATCTATTTGGATATCTTAGTCTTAACTTGGGGGAGAGTTTGGGGGTATAGATAGGAGCCTGGGGAATCAGTAGTGTACAGGTGTTACCTAACTGTGGAAGGGAAGACCAAGGAGAAAAGGTAGAGGAGTTCTCAACTTTTTTGCCTTTCTAACACACTAGAATATCATGAGCTCCTTCCATTAATAGTGATTCACAGAGTAAGTGATTCTCAGACTCTGGGGAGTAGAGTTTGGTAAAAGCCTCTCAATATTTCTGACATGCTTATCCTTCCACTTGACAATTGGTGTAGGGACAAAGGTAGGGCCAAGGAAATAACTCTGGGGAATACCGATTGCTAAGAGCTTGGCGGGTGGGGAACCTAGGAAAGAAACCAATAGATAACAGTCAAAAGATATGAGGAAACTTAGAAGAGTCATGGAAGCCAAGGGAGTAATGAGTTTCAAGAAGAGATGAGTACTTATTGAATGCCAACTGGAATAGAGAGATCGATCCAGTATAAGAACTACAAAATATCTGTTGGATTTAATATGCTCTAGAGGAGGTTTGCTGGGTTGGTGCTTGCAAAAGCTAGATTGCATTGAGGAGTGTGTTTAATTATTCATTGAATACAAAAATGTTTAAGTCTTAAATGCCAGGTGCTGTTCTAGTTGGGTGAACAAAAAGTTTCAGCCTTCATGACACTTCTAATAGAGACAGATAAACACATAGGAATCAAGGGTAAGTAGACAAGTGTAAAATGCTCTTTCAAGAAAGTTGGTTAAGAGGAGATAGAAGGCACAATAATAGAGTAATAGGTCGCATTTAGTGAATGCTTATTATGTGCCACACACTGTGGTATATCCTTTAACTCACAGTAACCCTATGGAGTAGATATGTTTTCCATTTTTATAAACAAGGGAACTCAGGTCAGAGTGGCTAAGTATTTACCCAAGATTACACACCTAATAAGTGGCAGATCTGGGACTTAAACCAGAGTCTGATTCCAAAGGTTATATAACCACCATGTTGTGTTGTATTGGCAGAAACATATTTTCATATTGGCAGTAATCTTTACTTATATTTACTCACTCATTCACTTACTTGCTGTTAAAATTCTTTATAATGACTGCTGTATATTGTCATTATATATAATCGCATCATGCTTTATTTTTTTCATCAGTAAGAGTTCCAGAGCACTAGTGAATGGAGTTATGCATTCATCCTGACATAGAAACAAACAGCAGCAAATCTTATTCTGTCACCTCTGTCTTAAAACCTTTGGAATGGCCTCTCATTGACCCAAGGCTCTATATGATTTGGCCCCTTTTTCCTTCTACAGCTTTATTGCTGCTACCTTTATTCTACATTCCAGATGGACTGTACAAGTTCTGGTAGACTTGCTTTCATTCCCAAATTTTCATCCATGCCACATACTTTGTTAGATGCCCCCACACTAGCCTAAATATCCTTTTCACTTGGCTAGCTCCTATTCGTTCTTCAGATCTCATTACTTTTTCATAAAGGCCTTCCCTGACTGTTGAACTAGGTTATGTGTACATAGTTTCTTGTACTTGCTCTGTCAACTTTTATTGTATTTTTTAAGACATCTTTTTTGAGAACTAATTTACATATCATAAAATTACCTATACAAAGTGGCTTTTGGTATATTCACAGGTATGTGTGACCATTATCACCACAGTTGATTTTAGAACGTTTCCATGAATTCAAAAAGAAACCTTGTACCCTTTAGTTATCACCCCCCTTTTCCCTCCCTCCCTCCCAGTCCTAAAATACCACTAATCTACTTTCTGTCTCTGTAGATTTGCCTATTCTGGACATCTCATATAAATGGAATCATACACTATGTGACCCTTTTGACTGGCTCCTTTCACTTACCATAATGTTTCAAGGTTCATTCATGTTGTAGTGTGTATCATTCTGTTTTTCTTTTTATGGCTGGATAATATTCCATTGTATGATTATATCACATTTATTTACACTTGTTACATTTTATTGTAATTGCTTTTAATGTCCATCTGTCCCCCTAGACTGTAAGTTCCATGAAGGCAGGGCTATGTGCATCTTAATCACTTTATCCACAGCAAATTATTCATTGAATGGATGCATAACTTTACGAAGTAGTCTGTTGTCTCTGTTATCTACAGAAGTTCTTGTTTGTTTTCACACAACTGCCTGAAGCCCAAAAGTGGGCCTCCCAGTCCTAATGTTCTAAAGGAGTTGGTCACTGTTTTGGGGCTTTTTAAAGATTCATATGGCTCACGGGAGTGTTAGAGATCCTCACTGTGTTTGTATGTTCATTTACTCAACAAATATTCATTTAGGTATTTATTGGGAACTTTTTTTTTTTTAAAGATTTTATTTATTTATTTGAGAGAGAGAGAATGAGAGACAGAGAGCATGAGAGGGAAGAGGGTCAGAGGGAGAAGCAGA